TGGTTAACAACTCGTAACCACTTGACCTTGGTCTGCGACGTAAGTTTCAATGAATTTTTATCATTGCCAACGTCACACAGCCAATATTGGGTGCCGACTTTCTGTCACACTTCGGTACAAAATTTTTGACAATGTCACTACGCTACAAGTACAAGGGGTTATCGAACGCTCCAATACCTTCTCGGGCGTCAAACCGTGCATGGTGTCAGACAACAACATTAGTAAAATCATTGACAAGTTTTTCAAACTAACGATGCCTGTCAACAGCAACATCAAAAAAGTACAACTTCATATTGTGACAACTGGACCACCACATCATACGACCCCACGTTGCGCGCTGCCAAAGCCAAATTCAAACACATGTTCCAGCTCGGAATCATTAGACTGTCAAACAGCCCTTTGGTATTACCGCTTCACATGGTGACAAAATCCTCAGGGGATTGGAGACCATGCGGAGACTACCGTGCACTCAACAACATGACCATACCTGGTCGTTATCCAGTTCCACACATTCATGACATCGCTCATAGTCTGGAACAGGTGCGGTGGTTTACGAGGCTATATCTCGTACGGGCTTACCACCAGATCCCAGTGGCAGAAAAAGATATTCAAAAAACAGCAGTGACAACACCGTTCGGTCTGTTTGAATTTTGAAGATGCCGTTTGGGCTGAGGAATGCCGCACAGACTTTCCAAAAGTTCATAAAACGAAAAATGGCCCAACAAGCTACCGGCCTACATGATTAACTAATACAGTATGTAAAACTTTTGAAAAAATAACTCATCATAGTCTTATATGTTATTTAGAAATTAATAAGATAATAAATCCCAATCAATGCGGAGGCCAAAAAAATGCGTAGACAATATGGTTTCATTTAAAACCTTCGTAAGAGATTTTGCCGACTTTCTGTCACACTTCAGTGTTCAATATAACTTACAATAACTTATTAAACAAAACAAACACTTCAGCCTAGAAATACTATCAAAACATTTTAGCAGTACAGCATTTTTTCTCATGCGAAAATTCAAAAAAAATCTGAACTAAACACTTTATATCAGAAGATATCTCCGACAACTTTACATCCACGGTAAGCATTGATTCAGTTATCAACTTTCTCAAAGATTTACAATGTTATAACGATATTTAATTGTATGGCTCCAAGAAGAAATAGTAAATTTTAAATGTCCTACTGACACATCATTGCACCAAAATGGGGGCTCAAATGCCGTTAAAAGCTGATACAACGACAACAACAGTATAAGATTATAAATTAGCGGATTCTAATAATATAAACTCAGAAAAAATCGAAAACCTATTGAAAGTTTGGTGAATACACTGTTTCAATAAAAACAATTTAAAATTTTGATTTAATTCATTTTTTGTTATTCTTAATTTTTAATTCAAATCATTTCAAAATACTATGTTACTTTAATTTTTAATTTTCAATAGACATTTGCATTATTGATAATTTTCTTGATTTTCAAAATTACAAAATCATTTTCATAATAATAATACAAAAAGTAACAGTAATAATAAAAACATAAATATTAGTAACAAGAGTAATAATAACTATCAGTAGCATTAATTCTCTGGATATTTTATAGCCATGCATACAGGCACGCATGCACCCTCTTACATGCCATCGCGCAATTTCTAATCTAACGACCTTCCAATTTAAATTTCGTTGCGATGTAGATAATAAGGTGCGTACCAAAACATTGCAATATTGATAAAGAAAATGGCGGGTCTAGGGTCCTCACCATTTTTTGGAAAATTTTCCCTCCGGTCACGACTTTTTTGAAAATTCCTTCCCCCTGGTCATCGACTTTTTTGAAAATTCCTCCCCAACCGGTCGTCAAATATTTTTGAAAATCTTGGCCTCCTGCCGTCAAAGTTTTCTAGAAAAGCACTGGATAAAAATGAACAAACGTTGTTAAAATTAAAAACATGCCCAGAATTTTGTTTGGGGAGTTAAAATTGGAGAGTTAAAAATATTGCTTGTTCAAAAACAAAAGTTTTCACGGCAAAATTAAAATCTAATTGTCCTGAGTTGAGTTAGTATGTTTACCCCTTTGCCGCCCAATGAACATACATCAGCGGCGGACTAAGGCTGAAGCGGACCCTAGGCAACATTATAATTCCGGGCCTGTTTTTCGGTCACGACACAGTTAATTCGGATACCAAAAAAGTATACATGTAAAAAATTAAATAAATACAATATAAATAACTCATCTTCTATATCAATCAATCAATCAGTCAGTCAGTCAGTCAGTCAGTCAGTCAGTCAGTCAGTCAGTCAGTCAGTCAGTCAGTCAGTCAGTCAGTAAGTCAGTCAGTCAGTCAATCAATCAAGCAATCAATCAAGCAATCATTCAATCAAATAGTTTATAAAGCGCCATATCTGCGATGCTCAATAAATTTTTCAAACAGATAGGTCTTGAAATCCGCTCGTAACTTTGCAAGTTATGGAGAAGTAGTTAGAGAAAGAGACTTCCAAAGAAAAGGGCCAGAAAAAGCAAACGCAAATTTAGCATAAAAGAGGTTAAAAGGGAGTAAACGATGGCTTTCAGGTTTAAATAATTTATCTGATAAATACTTAGAAAATAATTTAGAAATGAGGCTTTGTTCATTAATATGCAGATTTTAAAAATTATTCTATATTTTATATGTAGCCAGTGCAAGAGAACAATATTTGAAAATAAATGAGAAAAGATAGACTATAAAATATAAATTATTTAATTTTGTTGACCTAGACCTAGCAGGGATCGTAAAAAAAATTATTCTGGCCATTACGCCGCTCACATGGAAGGGTTAAATAAATTCTCAAAATTATGTAAAAATTAGGGAATGTGCAATAATATTATTTTCATGAATAATAGACCACATGAATACTGGATACAAAATAAAGTTTTTTTCATTTATAAAAATCATTATTGTACAACTACATTTTCAGTTCTGCCAGGTTTAAATCTTGTTCTTAACATTTTAATTCCTCTATTAAAAAATTACTGACATCACTCTCATAAAAAATTGCTTTAAATTTTTTATTATCCGTTGTATATCTCTAAGATTATTTTTATGCTCTTGTTCTTTGCTACTGAATACACGCACACGCATATAGATAATATTTAGGCACACGCACACGAACATAACCTCCCTGAGTTGTCACACATAATTATTACTATTATCAATATTATTTTTGGCTGTTGAGTGCGTCAGATGTCACCATTAACACCGGAATTGTATCCACATTAAAGCTTACTAATTCCAATCAAACCGTGAATGTTTGTTATATCCCAGCTGTTATCGAATTTTAAAGTTGCAAATATGTTGCAAAGCAAGCACAGTTGAGAGATATTTAATTCATAAGAGTATCAATTGAATAGTCGTGGTAGTAGTGGGGGTACTATACTGATAACGATAAGCATTAGTAGTAGCTGCCATTGCAGCAGTAGTAAGTAACTAACGATGCAACATCGTTCTTAAAAACTTCAAAATTTAAAAATATCAATATTCTCGTGACAAATATCGACGTTAAAAAACATTTTCGATACATCGATGTTTTTTCGATGTTTTAATTTTCTCGCCAGTCACTTAAATTTGTTTCACTAATGAAACCTATGTGTGACAGTGTTGTAAAAATCAGCTTTATAATAATTCTTTATCTAAAAAAAGAAATATAACGATGTTCAAACGAAAAATTAATTTCAAAAAGTAATAACTAATTTGAAAAATTCTATCAAAAGTTAGCACAGTGAATTCACTAATTTAATTTTTCAAATCTTCTCAAATCGATATTTTTAAATTTTAAAGCTTTTGTGATTTTAAAAATGTAAACCCAACACAAACTAAACATTTTAAAATTACGTACGAAAAGTCGCATAATTTTTGTTAATGCCAACATATTTTAAGCTAGCTAACAAGAATGGAAAATCACCATTCATGTTTGGAAATTTAATTGCAGTGCAGTGGTTCCTTACACGTTGAGTTAATCCTCACATGAGATATTTGTTCAATGGATCAAAATTTTGTCGTCGATATATTTGAGAGTTTTTGACAGTTTGGCGATAAAAACTTCAATGCAAATTTCGATATTTTATGAACGATATATAAATATCGATTTTTATTTGTTTAAATATTGGTTCAATCATTCATTCACTCCATTAATTAATTAATTAATTAATTCCATTCATTCATTCCCTACAATTGTCTTTTCAATATTTTTCAGTGGCATCAACAATAAACAGAGTGTATGCAAATATCCGTGAAACAACGCTCCTCACCAATTGTATGTGGTAGATGGGATCTTTTTGCAAACAAGCTCGGTCACTGAGGCACTTCATCGTAACACAATCACGGGCCAAAAATATATCGTTTGCATTTCTAAAGTATTAGAAGTGGTCAGAGGCGCCAACTTTATCAAATTATTGGGGGGGCAAAATAATTTAAGAATACGTTTGCAAACTTTTCTATAATAATTTAGTTTGCGTACCATTCTTCAATAAACTTACAATTATACAAGGAACATTGTGTGAAATTATTAATTTAAAAATTTATCATCAAAACCGCAATTCGACAAAACGGCATAAAGATTGCAAAATTTTAAAATTTAATAAAACTACAAGAAATCTGAAAATTTGGAATCCTATAAACGCATGTTGTTTATAAATCCAAAAAGCAAAATGTTACTTCTTTCTATTAATTTTATTCACAATAGTATTTGTAAAAATTGAGTATTTTTCTAAGAATCATACTTAAACATATTTACATATAAAAAGTACTTTTTCTCTGATCATTTCTTTGAATAAATTCGTTAATAATTGAATCCAAGTCCATTTCGTTTGCCACATATTTGTGAAAATGAAGAAGAGATACAGAATTGAGTCGTTTTTGTCCCATTGTCGATCTTAGATATGTTTTTAACCTTCTCAGCCCAGAGAATGATCGTTCAGCGGTGGCGGAAGTCGTAGGAATTGTCACAAAAATGTTTAAAAACTTGACTAATTCCGAAAGAAATTCAAATAATTGATGATATCGTTTATACTTTCAAGGGATTGATCTGCTTCTTTTAAAATTTGCAGCAGCATCTCTCGTTGCACAATCAAGCGGTCTGGATCTATGTCCTCTTCATAAAATTTGAGAATCTTAGATTTATTTGTATCGTCACCTAGCAAAAACTGCTCGATTTCCAAAATGAATTTGAATGATTTGCTCTCAAATCTCGTATCCAGTGCTTTTAAAATCGCATCAATAATCTCCACATATTGCGATTGATATATCTCCTTAAGAGAAAGATTATTTTGTTGTTCTGGCAAATCATTAGTTTCAAATCGTTTTGGAATTTTTCGTTTTCTCTGCTGTCTAAGTTCCCCTTGTTCTACCTCGGCAGGTTTATCAGAAATTACTTTCTGCCAAAATACAGAAAAATCTTTTTGGCAAAAACTGAGACTGGCTTTTAATGTTGCAATCATCCGATGCGCTTCTTCAAATTGCAAGGATTTTTTTGTAACGTTGTGTTAACCGTATCTATGTATCCAAATAATTTTGTTAACATTATCAAAGTAAAATAAAAATCGATCTTTTCCATCAGCCGTAAAAATCCGGAAGCTTTTGCACCAGAATCTGATGAATCATTTTCAGCCATATCGATAAAGAAATCTATTAATTTTGAGTAGTTTGATAAAAGAGACGACAGAGAGACATATTTGACTGTCCATCGGGTTGGACAAAGAAGTCGAAGGCCTGTACAAACATCAGATTTTAAATTGTGAAATATAGCCAATCGCTTAGGCGAGTCCTTTACAAAGTTGATGATGTCTTTAACCATATTTAATACATCCCTGCAAATAGGAAAAATTTTTGATTGCGTCCTGAGCTACCAAATTTAATGAATGAGCCAAACAATAAATAAATAATCCTTTTTTTTTGTCCTCAAGAATTCTAGCTTGAACACCACGTTTGTCACCAGCCATGTTTCTAGCACCGTCATAACACTGTCCTCTACAGTTAGACAGTGGTAAATTAAATCTGAGAAGAACATCTTTGATCACCGAATACAAAGCAGCTGAGGTTGTAGATTCCACTCCGTAAAATCCAACAAACATCTCTTCTGCTTCTAATGGATTTTTTGTAAATCTTAGACAAAAAGCAAATTGCTTTGCGAGATATATCTGCCGTCTCATCACATATAATAGCATAAAAACCCGCTATTTTAACTAATGAAATTATTTTCCTAAGAAGAGTATGGCTCAGAAGATCAAGAATTTCGTTTTGTATACCATGGCTACACCAAGTATATGATTCAGATTTTAGCCACAACTGCAGTTCCTCAGAATCTTCACCTCTTAACTTAAGTAAATTTACAAAATTACTTGCGTCATCATCGTGCCACGTATTGCAAGACCTTGTGACGCTAAGAACAACAGAGAAGAAAAAATCTTTTTTAGGCATTTTCGATTATTCAATAACTCTTTTTTTTCTGCTCAGAAATCTGTAATTATAATAAAAAGTGTTTACATTTTAGGATAGCCTGTCATGTCAAATACAAATTAAACTATATAATCACCTGTGCAACAACGTTACCTGATAACTTCATGGTATGAGATTTAAATACGGCTTCTTTGTGGCATTGTGATCTTTCGTGCAATTTAAATTTTTCCAACTCCTTCTTCCGATTATTAAAACCCGTTTCAATGAAAGCGGTTTCTTTTTTAGAAGAAAACGGCAGACCCATTGTGAAAAATATTTTTCGACACGTGGAACAAAGAACAATATCTTTTTCTGAATCATACAGAATCCAGGAAGAGTTATTGGTCCAAGTTGGAATAAAACGACGTTTTGTAATTGTAGTCGTAAATCTACGAGGTCACAGTAGTTGATGTGCCTTCTACTATTAAATCTGTATCCGCTATTGTGGTGTTTTCTTGGATAATTGAGTCTTCTGAAACCGTTCCAGTCCCGGATGTTTTGGCTGGCAGTTTTATCAAAAACTTATCCATTTTTATTTTTTCAAACTTGTTCTAATAAAATAAAATTTAGGAAATAAATTCAATCAAATTCATTCAACTTAATTTAATGCAGTTTATATTTATATAAAGCTTTTTAATTAAATTTTATTAAAAACACTTACTTTTACCGGTTAACAAATAAAAGCGTACAAAACAACGTGATGACAATTTTAAATTTAAATCGATCTTAACGTTTTGTTGCTATGGTAACACGACGAAACGCTGCAAAAAATTGTTTAAAAGTTGGCTACTGATTGAACGCTTTACTTATTTAAGACTAACGCTCAAAAAAGTTTACTGTAAATAAACACGAAATTTGATTAAAAATAAAAATGAAACGTTTTTGAAAATTGAATTTTCAAGTCAAAATTATTGGGGGGGGGCAAAACGATACTTTGCCCCCCTGAAAAAATATTTGGGGGGCAGAAAGTGCTTTGCCCCCCCTAAGTTGGCGCCTATGGAAGTGGTAGTAGTAGTATTTACTGTAAAACCATTGTTTAATTTTGGTTTCATTATGGTTATTTATATTTATAAATAAATGACAGCAGCATTATGTAAGATGAAAAAATTATAGGAACAAACTTATTATTATTATCATCAATATTAAAATTATATTTTAATTGATTAGAACTTTAATTTTAGAGATTCTCATGTTAAAGTAAATTGAATAATTTCAGTTTTGCATCATCTCTTTTTGCTAATTATGTTATACAGTGTTTTGTTTCTTTCTGGTCATAATACGTTATGTTATTTTTTTTTTGGGTGGCCGTACAAGCATTGCTTCAGGTCTCTATTAATAAAAATTGTTAATATATATATATATATATATATATATATATATTAATTCACATTAATTTATCAATATATTAACATTTATTAAAATATGGTGTGTTTGTGATTTTAGTTGAATTCGTTTTTTTGGAAACTGTATTTTGATTTTTTAATGATTTTAGAACAACAACAATAACAACAATAATAATAAGAACGATAATAGCTATATTTCAGCCACTCTTAAAACTTTACTTAGTTTCAGTTTTTTACAATCTTCAAATGTTTCCAAAGGAGGAAATAATAACTCTGATATTATCTATATAACTTATTTTGTATTTTTGGAAATAAGACTCTCTTATGATCGTAATAACTACTCAACCCGAAAAACTATGAATAAGTTACATTAAAGAAAAATTTAAGGTCACCACTCCTTTATTTACATAAATCTAGTTATAAAATTTTGAAGATTTTATTTTTATGATGAGAGTTTGAGTTTTATTATCAAATGATATTTATAAAAAAACTATTATGATGTGATAGCGATAGTTTAAACTCGTTAAAATTTGTAAAAACAAAAATTGATTTATAGCGGAATAATGTACCACTATTAACTCAGCAGTAAATATCAACAATTTCATGAGAACGTTGTCTCTATTTCTGATTATTGATCCTGCAATATCTCCAAACTGCATCCGTCAAAACAAAATTCACACAATCGAAACTTTTTCAGTTTCTTCTTTTATTATTCTACCGTCTTTTGTTGTGTTGAACGGATAACTGGGTTTACAAACTGGTCCCGGCGAAGAGAATGTTTTACTTGGCACGCCATATTGCACATTCAATTCTGACTGTGGCTTGTTCAGTTTGTTTTTTCTTTGTTGTATGATACACGCAGTGACGACTATTGCTATAAAACATATAAAAACCGAAACAAATATTGTTAAGTATATCAGACCATTTTCTTGATAGGCGTGACCTTTAAAAATTGTTAAAAAATTGAAATTAATAGATAATTATATTAATCGTTTTAAAATCATTTAGTTAAATTTAATAACGTTGCTGGGCTTTTTTTTTAAATTATGTCATAAATACCCAAACTATCCCTGAAAATTCTAAAAAAGTTTTACTTGTTCTCAACAAATTAACTAATTTCATTTTGAATATTATAATGCTAATTTTAAAAACATCACAATTCTCTCTATAATTTTTAAAAAATCTTATTGAAATTGCGTTTTTTTGATGATCCATTAAATAATTTTACTAGTTTTCATTTATTAAAGGAAATTTTGCTGCTTATTTTCAACACTAAATAGGAGTAGTCAATTTATATTCTACATTTGCACGTTTTATTATTGTCACAAAATCATATCAATAGGCTATATAAATTACATACAGTCCTGAGTTTCATCTGAGTTATCGTCCGTTCCACAGTTGGACATCTTGTTGCACTTGAGGCTCAGTGAAATGCAATATCCGCTCGCTTTGCAACGAAACCCTGGACATTCGGAATCTGTTGAAAATATTTCATCACTGAGTTAACGATTAAATTTTATTATTAATTTGGATTAACTTATAAATGCCTATTCTCACGCATGTTAACTTTGTTTAATGACTGAAAAAATGTCATTCGTTATAGATTTAAATGTTTTAATAGAACGTTGATTCATTTAAATTTCAAAGACCATTATTGGTATTAGCGCTTTTGAGAGTAATGAAAAGCGCTTTATAAATACTCTAATAACAATAAAAATAATTAGAAATGGAACGAATCCAAGAACTAGATCTATAGCATCTGGATCAGAATCTTGATGTATCAACTTGTTAGTAGTAATGTTAGTCACATTAACCAATTAGAAACAGGATCATTCATTCAAATTTATTAAAATCAAAATTTTCTTACACAAGTCAATATCAAAACAGTCAAAATTAAATTATTAACTTATCCAATAGTTTTATTCTAAATAAATTAACTATCAAAAATATACAATTTCAACATTATCCATCAATAACCGATGGCGGCCTTTTGTAATCCTTGATGAGACCTTGAATATTCTTTCTGTGCACACAGTGCAAGCTGGTGGCGTTAAGTTTTTTTAGAGCTGTTTTTGATAGTAGTATCTACTTGTTGTAGCGGTTCCAAAATATTAATGAATCTTTGTCATGAGAAATTTAATAATCTTCCAAATATTTTTCAATTGTTGTTCTTGGACAATCTATTTTTGCTTTGGTCAATTGTGTGATTGGCATTAATTTTACGTTCTTAGTTGATTGCTCAGATTCAATAAGCCCAACATCATCAGTTTCAAATTGCGGATGTTCTAGAATCAGATCACCTGTCGCAGCGACTTTATGAATTTTTTTCTGAAAAAATTTGTTCTTGAACGTAGGTCTAACATTGTTGCCAGTGCATGATTTATTTTCTCAAAAATCATTAAATCTTTAGAAAAAATTGTTTTGTGAATATTAAACTTGCGACTGTTTTAGCTGAATCAAATCGCAAAAACATCAATGAGTTTGTATACGTAGGAGTGTTTATTACACCTAATCGTTGTTGATATTATATTCATTTTTGAAATTTAGATTCTCGTCCTTTGGGTTGATTTCGGAACCGTAAAATGGTGAATCCTTAACTTTGGATCCGCGAATCCGAATCTTTCCCGAATCCCTGGATTCGGACAGTCACCTTCCTAATAATAATGATGACAAATTAAAATTGAAACTGAAACTAGGGTGTCCATAATATAATTTTATTATGAATTCACCATTTACATCACAAAATTAAGATTAAATTGAATTATCTGTTAATTAATAATATATTTCACAATAATAAATAATTTAATAAATATTTATAAGTTATAAACCCCTTGTCACAAAGTGTCACAAATGTTTAGACACCCCCCCCCGAAGCTGTGACATCCTTTATGGACGGCCCCTAAAAAGAAATAATGGATCAACGCAAAGTGATCTTTTTGAGCTCATAACGTAGGAACGCACAGTATATATCAGATACAATCAATAGTTGATAACATTTACACATAAGATATAATCAATAGTTGATAACCCTTAAAATGGTAAAGGATTACCGAATAAAGCAGTTTAAAAATTTGATTTCTATACAAATAAGTTAAAAATTAATGATAAAATACGATACGAAATATTAAAAAATTGAACTAGAAATGATCAAAGTTGAAAGTGCAGTGATATTTTTCAACGAAAATTGAAAAGACAAACTTTAAATTGATTAATGCCAACAATTTGGTAGAATTCATACAATACTGTATAAAATATAGTCTCATTCCAACATATTACAATATATATATATATATATATATATATATATATATATATATATATATATATATATATATATATACAACAAGTGAAATTTGATGGCTCCTCTTTGTAAATGCATTGCAAGACGTCTTGATAGTGAAATAGTCGTAACACCAATATACGAATGTAGTTGACGCGTCTGAGCTAACGTTAAGAGTGGTCATAACATTTTGTGCAAGCTGCAACACGGCATGCTCAAAAATGCTGTGCTCTATAGCCATATTAATTATCATTTAATGACTTGTTAATAGACAGAAATGAAGTAACTCTAACAAAAATAATTTTTTCTAGTACTTTGGAAAATGGAGAAAGTAGAAAAATTGGTCGGTAATTACATAGCTCTAACTTTCTGTCCTTTTGGTAAATTGGAACTACTCTGGATGTTTTGAAACGTTGTGGAAATATTCCTTGGGCAATGGACATATTGTAAATATGAGTGACTGGGATAACAATTTCATGGATAATTTGTTTAAGTAAATAGTTACTTAATTCATCATCTGATGTGCTTTTTTTGTTGCTTAAATTTTGAACAATGTACATTACTTCTTCTGCATTAGTGGAATTTATAAGCATTGATTTACAGATTGCAGCTTTTATTTTCAATTTATATTCTGTAACTATTTGATTTTCCAATCGCTTTTTTATGACATTCATTAAAATATTACTTATTTCCTCTGGGCTTTCAATGATTTTGTCGTCAACTTTTAGCATATTAGTATCATTAGTATTTTGATTTCTATTCATTATTTCATTAACAATTTTCTTTTGTTTAGAGCTACCTTATGCCTCGTAAAATTTTTGCTGAAATTTTTTTTCTATCCTTTTCTTTGCTTATGTAAAGCAATTTCTAAACTGTTTATATTTTTTAACATTGGTAGTGTTTGGTGCAGCAACCGCTATTTTATATTTAGTCGATTCTGTTTATTTGATAATGTAATTATTTCATCAGATACCCATGCTTTTCTATCTGTTCGTTTCTGCGACTGCAAAGGTGCGTGTGTGTCAAGAGTTTTATTGAGTATATTATAAAATTTCAGGCATGCTGTATCTATATTATTTTCGTTTTTTACTGAATGCTCATTTTGAAATAAAAAAGTTTTTAAATGAAGAAAATGGATGTTTTATTGATTATCCGTCTTAAAATTAGGTCATCATTGAAAGCAGTTTTAAAATTCTCTATAATTGCATAAACTGGAAAATGGTCAGAAAAGTCTGAGACTTGTTAAATTTCTTGTTACGTAGATCGTTTAATTAATTGATATAATATTGAAAGACATTAAAAGAAGAGAAATAAACTAAGCAACGTTCTCGACTTGTTTATTATCCACCGGATCAATAGAAAAGGAAAAAAGTGAAGTTACATACAAAGCAAAGAACATTTGGTCCAAAGAAAAATAAATGTATGTTATAAATCATAATGTTTTAATATAAAACATAAAACTTAACACCTTCTCATTTTATTTAAAACATTAGATGACCTTAACCTAAATGTTCTGAAGACCCATCGCACACATCAGATTCTTTAGTCTTGGTCCTACCATTGGTTTTGTCAGAGCATCAGCAACTTGAAGTTCTGTCGCAACTCGATCAACTGAAACTTCTTCTTCTGCAACTTTTTCTCTGACAAAGAAATGTCTAATGTGGATGTGCTTTGTTCTTCTGTGAAGTTCTGGATTGTGTGCTAAACGAATTGCTGCTTCATTGTCGACAAAAATTTCTGGCTTTTTCTTTAGATCTACAATGTCGTTCAACAATCGTTTGAGCCATATCACTTCACGAGCTGCTTCACTTGCGGCAACGATTTCTGCTTCAGTAGTTGAAATCGCAACTGAGGGTTGACGTTGGCTAAACCAACTGATCACGCTTCTTCCAAACATACAGATTACACCTGATGTCGATCTTCCACTAGATTTATCTCATCCATGATCTGCATCACTGTAGGCTATAAGTGTATTGTTTTGACCAGACTTGTAAACAATACCGACATCAGCTGTGCCTTGCAAATATCTGAAAATTTGCTTGACTTGTGCTACGTTGGACTTGCTGGATTTCTCCAAACTTCTGGATGCTACTCCAACTGCATATGCAATATCTGGTCTTGTTCCCGTCATCAAGTACATCAATGCACCAACTGCTGATCTGTAAGGAAATTTCACTTCCTCGTGTTCATTTTTGTTTTCATTGAACTCCTCAGATTTTGTAATCGGAGTTGTACAGGATTTACACTGACCCATCCCAAACTTTTCAAGAATCATTCTTGTATAGGATGACTGGCTGACATTAATATTTCCCTTCTCATCTTGATTAATTTCTAATCCAAGGAAATATGTTGCAGGTTTAGATGTTATCTTGAACTCTGATTTTAATTCTTTTTTAAATATTTTTAGTTTTTCTTTATCGGTTCCTGCAACTAGTCCATCATCAACATACAGTGCGAGTATGAGTTTCTTTCCTCCCTGTATTCTAATGAACAAAAAAGTATCTGCATCGCTTTGTTTGAAATGTCTCTTTTTCAAGAATTCAGCAAAGCGTTTGTTCCAACATCTTGGAGCTTGTTTAAGTCTATAGAGACTTCGCTTGAGTTTACAGACTCTTCCTGAATTATCTTTAAAACCTTCAGATTGCTCCATGTAAATATCTTCATCTAGTTTGTTGTATAGAAATGCTGTTGACACATCAAACTGCATGAGTGACATCTTTTCATTTGCAGCAACACTTAATAGTGTTCTTATAGTTGAACTTCTGACCACAGGACTATAGGTTTCTTCATAGTCAATTCCCTTTTTCTGAGAAAAACCTTTTACTACTAGCCTGGCTTTAAAACGTTCAACAGGACCATCTGGATTGTGTTTTACCTTGTAGACCCATTTGCATGGTATTGCTTTATGACCTTTTGGAAGACTTACCAAATCCCACGTTTGATTTTCCTTTAATGACTGCATTTCACTGTTCATGGCTTTAAACCATTCATCTTTTTCATCACTTTGAATGGCATCTTTGTAGCTCACTGGTTCAAGTACTTCACATAATGCAGACATAAAGAAAGGATCATAACGAGATGGCTTTTTGATATTATTCCTGTCACGTAAAACCATACCGTTGGTCTTTTGATTACAACAGTCAGATTGATCTTCTTCATCAGATGAAACTGAACTACGGTTGTGAACATCTTCATCAGTTGAAATATTTTCTTTAATCAAAGTTTCTTTATTTTCATCTTTAATTTCAACATCAATCGAAACTGTATCATCTGAACAACTTTCTTCTTGCAAAATCACTGAATTTGGTTTGACAACCTTCTCATCAAAAATAACATCTCTTGATCGATGCATTTTATTTCCTGGTTGAACAAAAATTCTGTAGCCATCGTCACCTTCATATCCAACGAGGATACCCTTTACAGCTTTAGTATCCATTTTACGTCGTTTCTGCATAGGAATATGAACATAGGCGTTGCTACCAATGATTCGTAGATGTGTTGTCTTAGGTTTTTTGTTAAACCACACTGCATACGGTGATTTTCCTTCTACAGAAGATGGTCCAGTTTGGTTGAGTATGTAAGCAGCAGTATTAATTAATTCAGCCCAAAGGGCCTGAGGCCAGTCTCATGGCTCTTGCTGCTTCAACTAGCGTTCGATTATCACACTCACTGCATCCATTCTGCTGAGGTGTATAAGGCATAGTTAGGCGTTGTCTAACTCCTTCTTTTTGCAAAATTGATCTGACTTCTTTGTTGTCAAATTCACCTCCATTGTCACTTAATACTTCTGAGACTTTATGACCAGCTGATCTCGACTCTGCAAGCATTTGTCTGAGTCTTTCTGATACATCTGATTTTTGTTTAACAAAGTAAACAAATCTGTAGCCTGTGAAATCATCTTTGAACAAAACAAAGTATCTGTAATTTTGAAATAAGAAGCAAAAAGGACCACATACATTTGTGTGAATTAATTCTCCTGGTCTTGTTGCTCTTACTCGAGTTCCAAATTTCAATCGATGTAACTTTCCATAGACACATCCTTCACATAATTCACTGTCTACAGGTATATCAATGTTTAGTTCACGTTTCATGACCATTTTAACATGTTTCTTATTCTGATGTCCCATTCGTTCATGGTATAACTGCAATGCATCTTGATCATTGACAAAGTTAACTTCGACTTCAGAATTTAACGGTTAAACAGTTTTTGCAACAAGTTTGAACAAACCTCCATTGTTGTTTCTTATTCCAACAACACTTATCACATTGTCAATAAGTAGATGACAACTTCTTGAGGTTGAAACAAAAGAGCTATTTCTGTTCTTATCTTGAGTTGCAAGTACTGAGAACAAATTTCTTTTTACTTTTGGCACATACAAGAAATCTGTAAGTTTAACAGTTTGCCATTTATTATTCACTTTCACTTGAAGATGAATAATTCCTTTTCCAAAAGCTTCTACAGTATCACCATTTGCAACATATAATTTACTCGGTTGAAAAATTTTTTCAAAACTTTGAAATATGTCTCTTCGGAAAGTTAGATGACACGTTGCACCATTGTCAAAAAACCATTCATCAGTGTGTACGCTGACTCATCAATTGCAAAAACACTTGATTCCATAACAACTAGTGACTTATTGTCATCGCGTAGATTGTTATTTTTTGGTTTTGCTGGTCTACCATCAGAATGCCATTTTTCACAATTTCTTACAATGTGACCTGGCAATTTGCAATACTGACATATCAGTCGCTTTGGTTTGCTGACAAATTTATCTTGTTTTTGACCATTCATGTTTAGTGATGACCTTTTAGTTGTTGCTTTGACAAATAATACTTTATTACATTCTGTTTTGCTTTCCAAAGATCTCTCATAGCTACACAGTTGATCTGTGAGTGTTTCGACTGTTCTTTCAGTCTTGTTCAACAATCTCCAACTTGCAGGAAATGAAAAATATTTTTCCTGCAAAGTTTCAATTATTTGGCACATCAGCAACAAGTCACTGTTTTCATCTTTTCCTAACTCAACCTTTAAATCTTTCCAAAGATTCTTGAGTTTTGTGACATGAGTGACAACATCATCGCTTTCATCTATTTTATAACTAAAAAACTTCATGCATAATTTGTATGCTTTATCTTCATTAACTTCATCATACAATCTGTGAAGTTTTAATTAAACATCTCTGGCATTACTGAATGAACGAACTTTTTCATACGTTTCATCGGTCATGTTGGTTGACAGAATAATCATAGCACTACAATCTGCTTTATTGAATCTGTTCAAAGCAGTTTGATATTTTGCTATCTCATCTTTATTTGAGTCATCGTTTAATTAATCTGGAATTTTTAATTTGCCATTTACTACGTCCATTGCATCAGGAATGCCGCGTAGTATTATACAAACCCCGATTTCCAGTTCAACCAATTACTTTTGCCTTCTAGGTGTTTGATTTGCACTTTTGTTAAATCCATTTCTTCCTTGTCTTTTCAATTTGACCTTTTAATTAGAAGCAAAATATCGATTTTCAGAGAATGAAGAAGCACGTGCTTTCTCTTCACTTCAGTCTTCACAAAAGAATCTTCCGATATTTCTTTATTCTAAATTTTCTTCGTCAAATCAATTAATTAAGAAAAACGTTATCTGGGTCCCATAACCTGTTAAATTTCTTGTTACGTAGATCGTTTAATTAATTGATATAATATTGAAAGACATTAAAAGAAGAGAAATAAACTAAGCAACGTTCTCGACTTGTTTATTATCCACCGGATCAACAGAAAAGGAAAAAAGTGAAGTTACATACAAAGCAAAGAACATTTGGTCCAAAGAAAAATAAATGTATATTATAAATCATAATGTTTTAATATAAAACATAAAACTTAACAAGACTATGATTAAACATCACAATGTTGATATAGATTCGTAAATATTCTGTTGATTAATGAAGTAGTGTTACAAGTTACTCTTCTTGGTAAATTAATTAAAGGCGAAAAACAAAATGAAAACAATAAATTTTCGAAATCTTTAGAGTTATTTGAATCTTTGTCCAATAAATTTACATTAAAGTCACCCACTATAACAGTTTTATCGGCAGGTTTGATGGCGTGTAAAATTAAATTGATTTTCTTTAATAAAAACTCAAACTTATAATTGTGTGGGTGGTATATTGCTAAAACTTTTAACGCACCTCTAGATGAGGCATGCCCTGTTTCAATGTTCACACAAAGAACGTCGATATTTTCATAATCAAATGCACTGTCGTCATTAACAACATATTTGATGTCATGCTTTATGAACATACCAACACCTCCGCCTCGTTTGTCGTTTCTATTTTTATATACTAAATGGTAATTATTTAATTAAATCAACGGTTTCATTGTTCAATCACGTTTCTGATATAATTATAATTTTGAAAAAATTGTTGAATTGTTTTAATAAAATTTCTAGATGTAACAATTTATGAAACAAACTTCGAGCATTCAGATATTTTAATATTTTTCTTAAATTTTATCACTTTAGATAATTCTTTAACCGTGTATTATTTTGAATCTTCTCTATTATGATATATGCCTTTTAAAATCCTCTTCTATGAAATTTTTATTATTTAACATTTTTCTCTCTTCCATTATTGTTTAATTAATGTCTCTTTTTTCATTTGCCTCTCCTTCGAGACCTAATCACGTGCTACTACCTGCGATGGAAAAATTTCTGGTTTGCGCATTTTGTCTGTATCTTCTTTATCGATGAAGACTCGAAACGCGGTAGCTTGATCTTTATTTTCATGTTCCTCGTTTTTATGTTCATCACTTTTTTTGGAAATGTATGGAAAAAATGTAAAAACTTGGATGTCGTTTATTGACAATTCTTCAATTAAATCATCTTTTAAACCTTTAACTAGACTTCTGACAAAAAACACGGACTTGACAACGGGTTTAAATCTCTTTAATTTGAAATATTCATCTTTTTTACTACCACGATCACTGCTTGTATTGATTTTGATTTTTTTAAGATTCATTTTATTCACAAAAAAGTGAAAAAGTCAGCCTAGAAATGAATGCTTATCTAGGGTTGACTCCCTATTTTTGTATTTATTATTATTATTATTTTTTTTATTATTATTATTAATTTTTATTATCTGCATTAGTATTTATGCTTGGTGCTGCGGGAAGCCCTGTAAGGGCAAAAAAGGACTAAAATGTATCAGAGGACATGCAAAACATGTACTAAATCTCTCAAGGCTAAAGATTCGAAAGAAAAAAACAATCCGCTTCACGAGACCCAAACCAGTCGGGTTTTGAACACAAGGCAACCCATACGGCTACCCTACAGCCATTGCAGAGCGTCAAACTTCCAAAATCACCTGCTGAATGGATAGAGGCAAACACATTCTTTCAAGTTGTTATTGTTGTTGCCCTTCCTAGGAGTCGGACTTGGGTTCCAGGCGAGGCCTGAGCCAGTTTGCCACCGCGACCGGATTTTTCCACAGATCTATTAGATTGAGGACAGTGCGATTCTGTGGACAGCTGAACAGATGTGGCACATCGTCCGGATGTGTTTGGCAGAAAGGACATATGTTAATGTGTCCACTGTCTATTCTATTCTTGTAGCTGCTCAAAAGGATGCTGTGGCCAGATCGGAGTTGAGCGAGGGTTCTCCTGTTGCCCTTGATAGGGTTACCTCCGATTTGTCTTTTTTAGGGGTTGGTGGTGGCCACCCATTGAGCAGTATCGGTGCATGGTACGACTCGGCGGCGGCTTTGGCGGCGTTACTATGAAGAGTGTTAGATGCGGCCTTTAGAGACTTGTTGTTGATGTTCGCTGGAAGCACCGCTACGACCGTTGATGACCATCTTGAGATGAGAGTGTCCTTCATATCTCGGTGAGGTCGTAGTTGTGTGGTAATGATGTTGCACGGGTGGCTTGGTTTGTAACATTGTAGAAGAAATTGTGAAGATAGCAACTCTGAGTGCTGCTTCACTGTTAACATCTGGCATTCTGAATGTAAATGCTGCTCGGACGTGATTCCGTGGCAGCCTGTAACCAGTCGTAAAGCAGCATTCTGAGAGCGTTGTAGTCTATTGAGGCTTGAGTTGGACGTCAGAGGGGACCAGGCCGGGCAGGCATACTTAATTGTGAAACGCCCAATGGCTTTGCTATGTCTGTAGGAGTGTTTCTTTATTCTGACCATATGTGGTGCCGCTGAGAGCTTTGAGAATGTTGTTTCTTTTGGTGGCCTTGGGCCGCTGCCATTTTGTGGTGTTGTGAGAACGACAGCATTGTGTCCAAGGTTAGTCCTAATATTTTCGGGTTGTGTTCCAGCGGTAAAAGCTGGTTGTTTATCTTAATTTGGGGATGGTAGTTGTATTGCGATGTATGAGATGTGAAGAGTGAAACTGTTGATTTAGAAGTGCAGATTTCTAAATTTCTCCTATTGAAGAAATCATATAACTTCGGAAGGTAGCAATTGAGCCGGCGGGTCAAAATATCTGCATCTGGACGGTTGTGTAGATTGAGAAGTCGTCAGCACAGAAGATGATTTTGATGTTTTGAAGCGGAGCGGGTGCTTTGGCTACACAGTAGTTGAAAAAAATAGGTGAAAGAACAGAGCCCTGGGGTACTCCCGAGCGAATGATGCGTTGTTTGGAAAGATGTTGCCGGAACTCTGTCGATGCGGAACGACCATGCAAATAGTTTGAGAGCCACCGGTGGTTGTTGACCGTGTCAAACGCTTTTGTGAGGTCCCGAACAGTGAGGACTGTGCAATGAGCTGGCCTTTTCTGATTGAAGCCATTGGCGACATCGGTAACCATCAGGGCTAATGCTGTTGTGGTAGAGTGGTCTGGACGAAATCCATGTTGATGGCTGCTCAGTAATGATTGGCAGCAGGCACTTTTCTAGGACATTTGAGGTTGTCGGTTTTACTTTGGATTTCTGAGGTGAGGATGGCAATTTCCTTGGATGTGAGAGTGTTAGCTCTGAGATCATCACGTTTCTTTATCAGGGCTGTGATTTCCTTCGAGAGACCTGGGGTGTGGGTGATGAGTTTTCCTGCAGGGATGTTGTGGTCACTTGCGACATTCAAAATATGACAAAACGATCTCTCGGCTACCGATAGATTGGGAGGGAATGGGGTTTTGTTGAACGCGGCCTCGGTTTTGGAAGTGAAGCCTTCCCAGTTGGCTTTGGCAAAGTTTATAAATTTGATTTTAGGAAATACTGTCTGTTGAAATGTGGATAGGAGGGTGATATGAATTGGGAGATGGTCAGAAGAGAGTGCGGTCATTGTTGACCATTCCATGTTGACAATCAGGGAATCCGAAACGACAGATATATCGGGGGATGACGGTTAGGGGAGACGGGTTGGGATATCCAGATTGAGTGTGCCGCAGCCTGAATTTTCAATTTCGTTGACTAAAGATTCTCCACGAGAATCCTCCAAACTGGAGTACCAAAGCGCATCATGCGCGTTTACGTCTCCCAACAGAACCACGTTTGGGATGGCCAAATATTGTGATATTGAAGCTGAGAAGCCGAAGGGGCAGACTGATTGTGGAGGAATGTAGATGTTAATGATGTTGATATCTGTGCCGTTGGCCCCGATGGTGATGGCCTGACTCTCTGTTGTTGACGTAGGAGGTAGGTTCTTGATTGTGTAAGAAATACTGTGATGGATGAGCATGATGAGACCTCCACCTCGTCCGGTACCACGGTCTTTGCGGTACAGCGCGTGGTCCTTAGAGACTGGTTCTTTTGAGTCTGCTGTTAGTTTAGACTTTTGGATAGTTGCTATGCAAATATTGTGCTTGATTAGATGCTTGCTGATTTCGTCTTGTTTGTTTTTTATGCCGTTACAGTTAAGTTGAAGGAGGTTAAGCTGTCCGGCGGATTGTGTTTGGGGATGTAATGTGTTGGAGCAGGAAGAGATGTAAGTGCTTGTTGATGTTGTCTGCCATCGGAGAGTCTCACCCGACACCGACTGACCACTCGAATCGGTGAACATATGAGTGCAGTTGTTACAGTTTTAACGACCGTTAATGTTGTTCGAGCAGTTGGTTGAATGGACCCAGTTGTAGCAGGTGCGGCAACGGGTTGAGGTTTGGGTTTTGTTGATTGCAGGCAGGACAAATCGGATCTTAGGGGGACCCGGGTTTGACTCGATTTCGGCCCTAAGAAGGAGACAACGGAGCAGGTCAGCCGGAATAGGCTGCTCCGTTGACAAAAACCCAAAATTGACATCCGAGGTTGGGAGGGGGTGTTGCAAGTTGAATTAAAATGCTTAAATAACATGAACGTCGACAACTTTGCTACTAGCTTTCAGCAAATTATCTACCACTATTTTGCTAAAAATTACGACTTTGTGAAAATTCAAACAACAAATAATTTTAAAAAGGAATATTTGACTAGACAGTTAAAAAAGGAGCTAAAACAACAAAAGGCAAAAAACAGCAACAATCTTTTCAACAGTCAAATATCAAATATAAGTAGATTAATTCGAATTAGATTAAAAACACAAACTTCAAAATGAACCAACAAAAGTGTTAGCGGCTCAACTACATCACAATTCTATAACAATTTCTGGAAGTCATGCAAATCATCATTTTCTTCATCTCCAAATACACCTCCTCATTTTAGTGTGGTCGACGGCAGCAACTTCTTTCGCAATGGATTGATAGCGGATAATAAAACTTCTTTTGAATTGCCGGAGTGGATTCCTTCTCTACTGCCACAGTCATTTGCTGGTGACATTGAACTACCATCCTACAATGAAGTTGCGTCAATTGTTAAAAAATGCAAGGCCAAAGCAACGCCCTGTTCGTTAGACCAAATTTCAACAATTGCGCTGAAGAGGTGTCCAATACTTCGCACGTATCTTCATAAATAAATAATCAGATGCTGGAAAGAAGCAACAATTCCGACGTGTTGGCGAAATGGTCTAGCAATTTTAATTTATAAAAAAGGTGATGCAAACGATTCGGCCAATTTTTGCCTCATAACGTTGCAGCCAGTACTTTACAAAATTCTAGCAATGTTACTAAAAAATAGACTATATGATTTCCTTAACAATAACAAACTCATTAATACAAACACATAAAAAAGGTTCTACTCAACAACCGATGGTCTGGCGGAACACACCCAAATGTTGACGACTCACTTGATGAAAGATGCAAAGAGACATAAACGCACAATAATCATCGTGCTACTGGATCTCCGAAATGCGTTTGGAGAAGTGAGTCATCATCTCATCAACTCAATTCTGCTCTACCACCATGTACCTAAATTATTTTGTGATCTAATTTTATCAATATACTCCAATTATACAATATGAGTTTTAATTAACGGACGACTCACACCGTTGTTACGGTAAGAAAAGGGGTACTTCAAGGTGACCCAAGTTCTCCGCTATTGTTTAATCTATGTTTCAACCCTCTAATGAAGATCTTAAAAGGTGAGAAATTTAAACAATGCGGCTACTTTTGGGGCCCAACCTTTGATGTGAAGACTAGACCTTGGTTTCAATTCGTTGACAACGCAGTGATTATTGCACACAGTTCGGATGGTGCACAAAAGTTAATTGATAGAATCTAACCTGGTGTAAATGGTCTGGTATGCAAATGAGAATTGATAAGTGTTGTGTGTTTGGAATGAGGAAAAAGAATGGCTCATACGATCAATTTTTGCCCAGGTTGACAATAGATGACATGCCTATTCCAACAGTGGAAATTGGTTGCGGATTCAAATACCTGGGAAAAATTTATGATTCAGAATTGAAAGCCACAAAAGCAAATGATGAGGTCGTTTCTAAATTAACGCGTCTGTTGAAAGTTACGTCCGAACTTGATGATTCTTCTCAAATGAAACTACAAATATCAAGAAAATTCATTCCATCCCAATTGAAGTTCGAACTACGAAGTTATAGTTTTTCACTGACGCGGATTGCCAACAATTTGGACAATCTAGTTGTTGAAGCTGTCAGAAGTTGGCTATCAATACCAATTAGTGGCTGCGTGTCTGAGATACTGGGTCTACCTTTAAAATTTGGTGGACACAATATTGTTTCACTTAAGGACACAACGTTGAGAATGAGATTAAAACTCCGCAATTATTTCAAGACAAACTCAAATAATGAAATACGTTGTCTTTGGCGTGAAACTGCGGTAGACTACAAAATGGTGGACAATTTGCTATCTAATTCAGCCACGTCATCTCAGTCTCTAAAAAAATTGGAAGATGGTCGTATTGCTGCTTTCCTAAGTCACGTGGTCTTGCTTCAGGGTCAAGGTTCCCTAATCAAGTCGGTAACTGACGTATTACCATCTTCTCAAATAAACTGGTCTAAGAAACTCGATTTACTACCAGATACTCTATTTAATTTTGCTAAAAAACATTTAATTCAGCAGCTGCCAACTAACGCTAATCTGTTTAGATGGGGTAAGACACTGAATCCTTTATGTCCTTTCTGTGGCGCTAAACAAACGAACAAACATGTAGTATCCAACTGTGGATCCGTAGTCGCGTTAAAACGATATACAGAAAGACATGATAGAATTTTATCAGAAATCATCAATTGCTTGATGTCATGCCGTGCATCGGATTGCCTGATATTTGCTGATATCGTAATGAACGGAGTCCTGCCAATGTCACAACTGTTCGTAAACCTACGTCCAGACATCGCCATTCTACAGGGCAAAAAATTGAAGTCGTTGAGTTGACAGTGTGCCATGAAACTAATCTAATTCATTCTAAAAATTACAAGCAATAGAAATACATTAATAATTTAAATTCATGCTTAACTTTTGATTATAAGAACTATGATATTATTTTAAAATCATTTGAAATTACTCCGATCGGCTTTTTTAATATTTTAAATTTAATGTCTATTAAAATTTCATGGTCTAATACACTTATTGTCAAATTGATCAATTCTGTAATTAAATCGACATACGCTATATATTGCGACAAAAACATTGTATGACCATTTTAAATAAGCCTCCTATTTGCACTTGTCTAATGGTAATGAGTAATAGAGTTTAATCGTATACTTAATTATTACCAATAACTGGATTTTTATTAGTATATATATTGAATATTGTATTATTCTGTATGTTTTACGATATTTGATTAAATAAAAAAAGTGTTCCCATTATTATGAAGAGATCCATTGCTTATGGCGCGAAACCTCTTCAAACTTTGTCAAGCCAGACAGTTCTTTGACTGAAACAGGCTCATTGAAGCAGTCTCTCAAGCTCCTGAATGAAAACCGAGTACAATCATGTCTCAACCACATCAATGAACTTCATTATCAAGGTACGGTGCTCAAGTCAATTGGCGAACTCATTGCTCTGCACAAATAACAGGTTAGTCAAAAACTGTTGACAACATGTCCGAGGTACTCTACAAATTTGCAAGGAAATACATTATTCAACAACTTCCTACAAATTCAAATCTGTTTAAGTGGGTTAAAACTACGTTATGTCCACTTTGTAATGTTCGTCAAACAAATAAGCACGTCGTATCAAATTGTGGATCAGCTTCGGCTTTGAAGAAATACACAGTCAAACATGATAAAATACTAGCGTTGATCATGAATGAGTTGAAGCTACAGGATTCTAACGACTGTTGCTTGTTCGCAGACTTGGAGATGGAAGGCATACGACCAACGTCACATCTATTCAACACGCTAAGCCTTGACATTACCATTTTGAGAAGCAACAAGATTGAAATATTGGAATTGACGATATGCCATGAAACTAATCTACTTTCTTCTAAACAATATAAACACCAAAAATATATTAACTTGCAAAATTAACTTCCAAAAATGGAACGTTAGGCTGTTAAAGGTTAACGTTCCATTTTTGGAACATATTCTAACTATTCTATAATAATGAATTAATTTGAAATGTCGCCTATTGGGCTTCATAATAAATTTTATTTGTCATTATTTAAATTTTCATGGCCATCTAATTTTAATTTTAAATTAATAAGCATTGTCCTTAGCTCATCTTACACAATAAACTGTGAAAGAAACAACGTGTAATGGTATTCGAATATACTCCCAACACACATACACTTGCATCGACAATGAGTATGAGCGGATTACTTGATTACAATATAATAACATTTGATTTTTTTTAACAGGACATTTTACTATATACATATATATATATTTAATTTTGATTATCATTAACAATTATTGTTTCTTTCATTTCATGTATGTTTTTACGACATCAAACCGGCGCTCAATGCCACAACACTTCGACAACAAAGGGCAGAATTTGCACGACTCACTCCGTTGTCAAGGTACAATAATCAAAGCAATCAGCAATGAGATTCAGATTCCTGCGGCTCAAATTGCTCACTGGTCACGTTACATTATGAGTCTTCCAGAGGTTCTGTTCAGATTTGTCCGGAAAGGTTTAATTCAACTGCTGCCGACAAATGCCAACCTGTCCAGATGAGGAAAATTTGCAAACCAATAAACATGTGTTATCCAACTGCAGCTCAGCATCGGCAATGGGTAAATATAAAACAAGACACAACAAAATTTTAGCAATAATCCTCGACAAGTTAAAATCATGCGCCAACCCAGACGTCTCCATTTTTGCTGATCTTGAGACAGGCGATTTTCAACCACCATCACGCTTATTCAAAACATTGCGACCAGATATCGCATTGCTACGC